CTTTAGTGGTTGGGGGAATAAATTGAGCATTAAGAAGGAAATAACTTTGGGACAGCCTTAAATCAAGAAAATAAGAGTAACAACAATAACAAACAAAAAACTGCCTATACCATGTCCTTGGGAAGGTCTTGACAGGTGGAGAAAAATTCCACATCAAATCTGAAACATTTGGCTGACTGTGTGACCAACCACAATAATAATATATCACAAAACCTCAACATCTGCCTATTCCAGATATTGGCAAGTGGATAAAAATGCCAAATCCAGTCTAAACATCTATCTGGCTGTGTAATTAACCACAACAATGAAGATCCTAATTAGAAAACTGAAAGTTAATACTGTTTGGGATGGATCAGGGCTGTTCAGAAATACCCTTGACATTCAACTTCAAATGTTTTAACCTATTAACCTAAACCCTTCCTGCCCTGATTATTTCTGGGTATTTCTTATAGCCATAAGAAAAATGGCTATAAAATGCTTCAGCCAACCATGAAGCTATTAGTTACAGAGTCCCAAGGCTTATTTATTTACTCTGTTTAACTCCTCTACGATCAAAATTTGCTACAACATAATGTAACCATGATTTGATGATTAAATTATTGTAGACTGTGCAGAACACACTTTATAAGCTACTGCTTTATAAGCCACAATGGCTAGGTTCTCATAGTATGCTCAGCCATCAGAATAGCTCTGTACCTTGCACAGAAGAACAGATAAAATTAAGATTCTGCCAAAAAATCCTTTTCACATTATTACCCATTGGCACTGCCATTTTCACTTCCTCATGCAGGACAAGGAGCTTGGTGATCATGACAGTTCAGGGCAAAATCCTGGCTCAAAGGAAAAGCATGGCTTAAAATGGAAAAAGCTTAAATATTTTATTTAGTGTAGTAAGCATAATTGTAGATCTACCGCCTGCCTAATAACTTGCACTTTCACCCAAAGAAGGCAATAGCTTAGTGCTTTGTCTTGATGCTGGTGAAAGGTCATCTTACAAGACCAGCCTTTTCCCCAACATGGTGACCTTCACGTGTTGATCTCTTGCAGCATGGCCAATATTCATGGTGTTTAGGGATATTGACACAGCCCAACATATTTAAAGAAATTACCCTGAAGAAGGCTATTAGGAATTTTCTCCCGATACCACGTCATCCCAGTCACAGAATGCTTAAGAATCCACTTTGTCTCCTGCAAAATTCCCCCCACTCTTAGCTCCCAGTGTTTGGCGCCTACGTGGGTTTTGTTCAGTATGCAGGTAGTCCTCGATTTACAATTGAGCCCAAAGTTCCTGTTGCAAAGTGAGACATATGTTAAGTGAGTTTTGCCCCGTTTTACAACCCTTTTTTGCCACAGATGCTAAGTGAATCATCACAGTTGTTCAGTAACACTGTGGTTAAACAAAGCCAGCTTCCTCATTGACTCTGCTTGACAGAAGGTCACGAAAGGGGATCGCATGATGTCATAAATATGAGTCAGTTGTCAAGTGTCCGGATGTAAATTACATAAACCACGAGGATGCTGCAAAAGTTGTAAGTGTGAAAAATGGTCGTAACATAAGTCACTTTTTTCAGTCCCTTGTAACTTTGAACAGTCAAAATGTAAGTCGAGGACTACCTGTATGTGATAGAACTCCAGTCTCCCACTAAATACAAATGATACAAAGATACACGATAACTTATTTACCTGCTTTCCATAAGCCAGAGCCTTGCTGTAGAGAGTGAGACCGACAGTCAGTTTCTCCATCTTCTCCTCTTCGTTTGTTAGCCTGATATCAAAGGCATAAGCATAGCCTTGTTCGGCCAGGCAACGGGCTGCTCTGTCCTGGGGATTTCCCTGCACCTTGTCTTCTGAATCCAAACCCATTAAATTGGAGAGATGCTCAGTGCACTCAGCCTCTTCCTGCTCCTGGTTCAACCTGTCATAAATGTAGGCCAAGTTGGCCCAAGCGTTTAAGTTCTCAGGCTGTTCTTGAGTGATATGCAGAAAAATCTCTTTGGCTTGCTCCACTTCCTCCAGGTAGAAGGAAAATACCCCGAGAAGGTTTTGAATGGCATATTGCTGTGAGCCAGTTTCAAACTCCAACTCGTAGAGTAGACTTTCTCGCTTCAACTTCAAGTCTCTCCCTTGGAAGCTGATTGGTGCAGAAGTTTCAAAATTTAAATTCATATCTAGATGAAAGTGACCAGGAATGTAGTCCATCTCATCAATAAGAGTGTCAATGTCCACGGTGGTTTCTTCCATTTTCCCTGCCGGAAAGACTCCTGACCAGTTCAGGAGCCTTCAATCAGCAGCTTTCCAGGATTACCTCGCTTTCTCTCCGTCTTTCAAGTTTGTTTACTTTTCTGAATTCTCCACCTCTTTTTTTTTTTTAACCAGTATTTCTGGTTTAGCTGCTGATTCACATGATGCCTGCAAAAGGAGGAGCCGGATTAAATGCCTCTTCTTCTTCATAATCATATTCATCATTTGCTCAGTGAATCACCCAAAGTAGAAATCAGTTCCAGTGGTCAATAATCAGCAAGACACGGTAAAGGAGAGCATGGAAATCAGGCATTCTGAATAAACCATAGTTATATATAAAATGGTTAATAGTTCAAGCTACAAGCTGAAACACTATTATGGATTTCATAATCAGTTGCCTGGAGAGATCTTTCTCCATATCATCTATCTGGGATCTCCATGCATTATGATGAGTTTGGAGCCTGAGAATCACCTTGGCTGGGAGCACACTTCAAAACATAGAGGGTGGGGCCAGACAAAAACTAAACTTCATTTCATTTACATTTAAAATTAAATGAATAGATACAACAGTCCATATATGAATAATAAAATTAACGTAATGTAATTAATTTTGTGCTTCAGCACCATTAAGTACCATAATTTAGAAAAATATTCAAGGGACTGGAAACTTTGAAGTCATATATGATTTGAAGTTTCCAGTTTGTCTATAGCTATGTTCCAGAATAGGGAATCTCCAAACTTGGCAACTTTAAGACTTATGGATTTCAACTCCCAGAATCCCCCAGCCAGTCATGCTGGCTGACGAATTCTGGGAATTGAAATCCATGTGTCTTAAAGTTGTCAAGTTTGAAGACTCTTGTTCCAGAACATAGATTCTGGAACAAAGACAGAGCAGTCTATAATTTAAGATGAATAATGCAACAGGGCAGGAAAGTTAGAATATTTTGGACATGTGATGCAACACCCAGAAAAATACGGCATACTTCACTTAATCCTCCAAGGAAAGATTGAAGGCAAATGATGTCCAGGCAGAAGAAGAACATCATGGCTTCAAAATCTAAGGGACTGGTTTGGATAAAACTCAGCAGCATTTTTTTGTGTTGCTATTGATAAAAATAGGATCGCCAACATGATCGCCAACGTCCGATGATGAATATGGCACAAGAAGAAGAAGAAGAGGAGGGCAGGTTATGATTTCTTGCTCACAGTTTTTTCCAAACTGATTATTCATTCCCAGGTTTGTGTTTGATTCTGCATTTTGTTTGGATGGGAGAATCCTTGATTTTTCTGTTGCAAGAACTGGCGGGGAAAACAATAATTCTGTTATCATCCAAGTAGTCCTTGACTTATGGCCACAATTGAGCCCAAAATTTCCATTGCTAAGCAAGACAGTTGATTCACCCCATTTTACAATTTTACCACAGTTGTTAAGTGAACCTCTGCAGTTGTTAAATTAGTAACACGGCTGGTAAGTGAATCTGGCTTCCTCACTGACTTTGCTTGTCAGGAGGTCACAAAAGGTGATCACAAGACTCCGGGACACTGCAACCGCCATAAGTACATGCCAGTTGCCAAGCTTCTGAATTTTGATCATGTGACCATGGGGATGCTGCAACGGTCATGTGAAAAACAGTCATAGCTCATAAGCCACCTTTTTCAGTGCCGTTGTAACGTTGAACGGTCACTAAACAAATGATTGTAAGTTGAAGACTATCTGCATAACAAACTTGCTAACTTATATCTAAACTTGTTATAGCATCTCGTGTTAAAATAATTCCAGCTTTCAGTTCTCTTTTCAATTCAAAGTGGGGTAGGGACCAGAAAGCCCTGCCACTGCTTTGCTATTTCTTCCATAACTAAAAAATGCTGCATTCTGAATGGTGGATTGTAAGTTTCCCCAAGAAAAACTTGCTAAACTTCTTCAAATGTTAAATAGTATGTGCTCTGTAATACTAAAATACCATGCTACCAACAACAGGATGAAGCATTATATGTTAAACTGACCCTTCCAATGGATTATCTTGTGTTATATAGAATAACAGAATTGGAAGGGACCTTGGAGGTCTTCTAGTCCAACCCCCTGCTTAGGCAGGAAACCCTACACCACTTCAGACAAATGGTTATCCAACACCTTCTTAAAAACGTCCAGTGTTGGAGCATTCACAACTTCTGGAGGCAAGTTGTTCCACTGATTAATTGTTCTCACTGTCAGGAAATGTATCCTTAGTTCTAGGTTGCTTCTCTCCTTAGTTAGTTTCCACCCATTGCTTCTTGTCCTGCCCTCAGGTGCTTTGGAGAATAGTTTGACTCCCTCTTCTTTGTGGCAACCCCTGAGATATTGCAACACTGCTATATTTCTTCAAATGCATATAAAGAAATCTGAGATCATAGGTTTAGTGGGGAATGGTTCATTAGCATCAAGGCCAATCCCACTATCTGAGAATTATGAGAGTTGTGGACTGATGCTAGGGATTAACAATTGTGCTATGTGTCCTCCCTAAACACATCTGTGCCTTTCCTTTTGCTACCCTTTCTTTGCTGTTCCTTTACAGTTGCCATGAAAGACCAGCTGGGCAGGATCTAACCATCTCTTCCAAGCATAGTCCAAGACTGAGCTGGAATAGCCGCTAGCAGCACTGACAAGACTTTGTGAACAGAGCTGGTTGCCCTGAAGACACACCTCTGTTAGGACCATGGAAACAGAAGCTCCAGCGTCTAGTGTTGTCATGGCAGTGAAATTCCAGAGCTATTTTCTTCTACAGCTGCCAATCAGGAGAGTGATCCTTCTTTTCCTTTTCTTCTTGGCAGCAGAAGATGGAAGATGGAACCAAAAGGCTTCACAGGTGCCCCCTTTTGGTCTCAACAAGCCAGGTATGGACAACTTTAGCAGGATTTGGGACTGGGCATTTGTCTCTCTCTCTCTCTCTCTCTCTGTCTGTCTTTACACACACACACACACACACACACACACACACAAAAGCCAAATGTTGAATATGTTCTTCCCTGCTGCGAAGTAGCCAATTATCACACAAGGCAGGAAATTGTTTATTCTGAATAGGTAGTCCTCATTTTACAACCATTCATTTAATGACCGTTCAAAGCAGTAGTGGGTTTCAATTCCGATTGCTACCAGTTTGCTTGCGGGCAGGCGCATGCTAACACATGCGTGTGACGCTTCTGCATATGCGCAGAGATGTCCAGGCGGGTGGGCAGAGTCTTCCACCACCGCCGCTACCAGTTTGCCCAATCTGGGGCGAACTGGTAGCAAACCCACCATTGATTCAAACTTACACAGCACTGAAAAAAGTGACTTTTGACTACTTTACACAATGATGACTGTTGCAGCATCCCCATGGTCATATGATCAAAATTTGGATGCTTGGTAACTGGCTGTTATTTATGATGGTTGCAGTGTCCCAGGGACAACCAAAGCCAATGTGGGAAGTCAGATTTACTTTAGAACCGGATTACTAATTTACCAACTACAATGATTCACTTAACAACTGTGGCAAGAAAAGGGCTCAAGCTTTTCCGTACTACTACTAACTGGAACCATACCAGCAGAAGAGAACCATGAAAGAGAGTGTTTGCCATTCCTAGTTCCTGGAGGTAGTTGATAAGGATATATAAGGATACCATGATCAATGGCAGAGAAAAGTTTCAGAGGTCAAGTAGTGCCAGGTTGCATTCCCCTATCCCTGTCCTACCGGAAATCATTAATAAACGGGCTTAATGGCACCTTGCTGCTGAACCTGGACCTGAAGCGCAACAAAAACAGGCTCAAATAATCTATTTCCTCCAGTGCCACTTGCAGCAGCAAACCTACTGCTTTCTCCACAAACTTTCTCCAAAAGGAAAAGATAGAAATGGATTAGAATAGATGGGATGGGGTGGGGCCATTCCTCTCCTGATGTTAAATCTGAAATTCAGTCAAAGCCACCTTTAAGAGGGTAATTCCCAGCCCCTGGCCCTATTCAGGTGTTCAAGTCAGGCCTATTTGAGGATGAGTATAGATAGACCGGGCATTTAGCCAGATCCTTCTGTCTCCTTTATCTCATCTCCAAATACATGAAGGGACACAAGTGCCACAGTGATTTGTGTTCTATATATACTTTATATTCATATAAAGAATTTTCTAGGTCCTATTGTCATAATATGAGAAATATTCCTCATTTTGTTCTATGACAAGGCCAATTCAAGGAATTTGGGGCCCAATGCAACTCCAGGTTTGGAGCCCCTCCACTACCCACAGTTTAATATTGCAAATGGATTCCAGCAAAAAGAGAGGGAGGAAGAAGAGATAGAGCTTTAGAGAAAATAGTACTTTGCGCTGACAGAACGAGGTGGGAGAGAACAGAAAGAAACAGCATCACTTAGTAAAATCTTGCTTGGAATTATGGTACCCTGTTACCTTGTTTGATCTGTTGGCTGATCATGGAGCAATGAGTGAATTGCTGCCCTTTAATCCTTCATGCGCTGTCCCCCCCCCCGCTAAGGTCCACTCACTTTTCTGAAGTCCAGAGTAGCTGCATCTGATGCCACCTCCTTAAATCATCTCTGCCCTACTTTTCATAGAAAGATGTTGGCAAAGTGGAATCACCAATTCTATGTAGAAACAATGTCATCTGGACCATTTATAACTGTCCATTAAACATCCTCTACATCCGGGGTTTTCAAACTCAGGCCATGAAACCTGAATGTTTTAGTCCTGGAACCCCAGGCCTAGAGACAAAACACAAGTGACAGAGCACTGGCTATATTTCAGTGAATTTTTGTTGTTATTGTTACTCTTATTTTCTCAAAGAAATTCCATCAAGTTCTGATGGGCCCATAGTGTTCCACATGTGTGGAAATTATCCCCACATACATGTGAGCTGACTTCACTACTTATCCTATAAGACAGGGGTCACCAACCTTTCGGACCTCAGGGACCACTAAATTCATTATTTTAAATCCCGCGGACCACTAATTTGATCTGCCTAATGACTGGCTGGGGAGGCGTGGCAAGGTGGTCATGGATGGGTGGATGTGGCCAGCTCAATGTCACGCACATCGATGGGCATCTTGCCAGCCTCTACTCACTACTCCTCGCCTGCCCGCCCGGGCTCTTTAGGACCCCAAGCACCTGGAGGCTCAGTGGGCTGAGATAATCAGCCAGTTCCAGGCCATGATCCAGTTCCACTGGAACAAGGTCCTCCGGCTCTTCGCCAGCAGTGGTGCTTCCCTCCAGCCTTCACCCAAAGCCCTGCACGAAGAGACTGAAGCAGATCCCAAGTTGGAATTTCTGCCCCCCTCTGCCCCACACAAAAAGACCCCAAAGTGGGAGTCTCTCTGCAGCATCACAAATGTTCATTGCACGTATCCGGCCCAGGGGCCGTAGTTTGAGGACCCCTGATTTAGTGCAATATAAAAAATGCAAATAATTTTTCTGGGGACCACCAAAACCAGTGGTCCATGGACCACCAGTTGGTGACTGCTGCTATAAGATGTCCCCCCCACACACATAAAAGTGATCCTGAGCTGTAACAGGGGCAGGAAACTAACAGGAACAAGTGGTCTAGTTGGGCTAAATTGTTACATTCATTGACCATATCCCAGAGGTAGTAGGGCTAGCATACTGACCTAGTAAGAATTGATAACTAATACCAAGGTCACCTTATCAGAAACATTTCAACGTCATGCAGTAATTCACACTGTGTTTGCCTTCCTTTTTCTTTTTGTTCTAAGGTACTAGGCCAAAGGTATATAAGCTATGGTCTAGGCTGTTCAGTTAGTTGCTAAATAACTGTAGTTGTTTGCAAGCATAATAAGTGCTAGATACATCTTCAAAGTGATTTGGTTCCTTTTAGAGAGTTAGATTTTGGCTACAATTCATGGAACATAGTTTGAAAAACACTGTTGCAATGATCCAAATAATTTAAATAATTTTTGTACACTTTGGAGCTGGAATAGGGTGTGTGTATGTATACTGGGATGTGTGATTAGAAAAGTTGACTTTGAAGATAAAACTTGAAATGGGTTATTTCAGGGGTGGGTTCTACTTATCTTTACTACCGGTTCGCAACGGTAGTTGTGAACCAGTAGTTGTGCACGTGTGCTCTTCTGCGCATGTGCAGAAGCGTTTTCATGACATCAGGGTCAGTGGGTGGAGCCTCCCGCCAGTTTTACTACCGGTTCTATAGAACTGGTGCAAACCGGGGGCAATCCACCACTGGGTTATTTCATTTATGACCCATCTTTTCTTCAGGGCTTCAAATGGTTTGCAAAGCACACCTCCCTCCTATTTTATTCCCACACCAATAGATCCAGGACGATTCCTACCAGCTGGAATGCCAGAAGTCTTAAAAAACCTCCCTGGTCACTGAGCCCTTTTTGATGTGATTTTGTCATATATGTAATTTGTCTTGTCCGGACATGGAGGCCTTCTATGTACCAGTATTATTGTTTTGATTCTTAAAATTTAAGCCACCCAGAATTGCTCTGGACAGGAAAATTTAGATGGCAACAGCAATGAACATAATTGTTCTGCCCCAGCTCCGGATCCCAAGGAGTGTGACACACACAAAGCTCCAAAAACTCTGTTTAATACAAACAGACCCCTTCCAAAATGCAGGCTTCTAGTGCAAATGTCCTTATCAGCCTGCTGTGAATTATAGAGAATAAACAAAGTCCGACAAGGGTTGGCAACCAGCCCAGATAACAAGAAACTCACTCTCAAAAAGCTCTGCGCAGCAGCGTGTGCTATCTGTGAGCGAACTTAAATAGGCTAAGGGAGTGGCCAATTAGCCCCAAACCTTATTCTAGAGGAGTCCTCCTCCTGAGTAGCCACTCCTGCCTTTTGGCAGCCCTGCCTGTTCGAGCATTGAGAAGAGGCTCCTCCACTTCACTCTCTTCACTTGAAGGAGCCGCTGGAGGTTCTGAAGGCCCTGGCTGAGTCTCTGCCTCTGGCACCACATCCTCTTCATCCTCCTCGCTGTGTGACTCGAGCGCCGGCTGCACAGGCTGCTGGTGCAACACCACACCAGCCTCCTCATCGTCGGGATCAGCCACAATCTGTGCAGGCCGCTGGCAGGCCACAACACTAATCATCCTGATCATCCAGTATTGTAAATGTGAATTCAGCATGGGCTGACAGACAATTTCTGGCTAAAAATTATCTAGTGAATATCTTGGTTGAGGCTAAACCTGAATCTGGATTTCCCTGATTCTGGTTGAACATCTTAACCATGCAACTACCCTGGCTTTCATCATTATACTTTTAGTCTTGTCATTTGGTTGAAATTTGTTATTTAATTACATCAACAATTTCACAGTTCTTTTCCAAATTACAGACTTAGGAGGCACCAGAAAACCTTTAAAAATGACCTCTTGTTATCAATAGGACTATTAATCCCTATAATTAATATTAATAAGAAATAGTGGTTATGTTAATATTGTATTGCCTGCTCCCAGTTACTTAGAAGATAAAAGAAAGCCTTTAGGGTGAAACTGATTAGGATCATGCCTGTTTCATAAAGCAGCACCAGAGGATTGAAGTGTGCTAATTAACTAATTAAGGTTGCAGAAGTGAGCTTGTTAACCTGTGGTTAGCACCTTTTAGGGAAGCGCTGCACTGCAGAGAACAGCGGTTTAGGAAGAGATAGCTTCGGGAGATAGTTTGTTTGAGCAATTTCTCCCCTCTGCAAGGAAGGAAAATGATAGAAAGGGGATGGGAATGCAAAAAAATACCAGGCAGTCAGGCAAGGATTTTCTTAGATTTTCAAGGTTTATTAATAAAATGCTTTAGACTTCAGCTTAAATACAGTGTCTCAAACAAATGTTTTCCGGATGCATTACATAGTAATCAGGGCAGTGGTGGGTTGCCCCTGGTTCAGACTGGTTCGCAAGAACTGGTAGTAAAACCAGCGGGAGGCTCTGCCCACCGACCCCAATGTTATCAGGAAGCTTCTGCACGTGCGCGAGCGAAGCGAGGGCATGTGCGCGGCCCCATTGCAAACCGGTAGTAAAGGTAAGTAGAACCCACCCCTGAACCAAGGGTCCCCAAACTTGGCAGTTTTAGGACTTGTGGACTTCAATTCTCAGAATTCTCCAGCCAGCATAGCAGAGTTGAAGTCCACAAGTCTTAAAGCTGCCAAGTTTGGGGACCTCTGTAGTAGGTAAATGGAAATGACTTTCCTATTTCCTTGTCTTAAAAACCACACAGCATAGATAGTGTATGTTTTAAATTAATTAAGTAGTCTTCCTTAGCTCAACATCTTCAGATGTCTTCACCTATACAACTCATCACCACAAGCCAGAAGGTGAATTTCTTCTCACATGTTTGGAGGGTGTCATGTTGATGAAACCTTCTGTACAAACACTTGGATTTTAATATAGATTTTAATGTAAATTACTATGAATTATATCTGATGAAAGAATTGCCACTTGTGCAATGACATATTCCTTTCTCTCTTTCTTGCTGTGGTCCCATGCGTATACGTTCTCAGATCTGCTATGTAGTTTCCAGCTGCTCTAGAGCAGATTTGAAATAAGCATGTGAAAAAAAGAGAGGAATCAGTTCTGTCAAGTAGAGGTAATTAGATAAAGCCCTGTGTTCAAATTCTGTAGGTCAGAATCACCTCATTAGCAGCTACATATAGGAATATTAGAATTTCCATCTAGTAGACTTCTAAAATTGGTCTGAGTCTGGTACAGAAGTCCTGTTGTGGCTCCGTTATCTGAGCCTGTGTTATCGGCAGGAGAGGACTCCGAGAGTGAAGGAGAGGAGTTGGCAAGGCCTCCCTCTCCAGGACCCTCCTCTCTGGCAATGCCTCCGGTGTCCTCCGAAGGGCAAGAGATAGGGCCGGGGCCAAGCACTTCCACGCAGCCGCAGGTGGGCAGTAATGATGATGATGATGAGTCTTGGCTGGACCCTTGCCAGCGTCGCAGAGATAAGCGCGCGCAGGAGAGGAAGAGGCGTGCCAGGGATTAGGTTGAGTCACTGGACCACACCCCACAGGGTATAAAAGAGGGTGTGGTGGCCGGTTCAGCTCTGTGACAAGCAAAAAACGGATATCGGACGATCTTCTTTGTATTTACTGGACTTCGTTGATTATTGTGTATTGGCTTTGTTCCCGGATGAAGGGAGAAATTCCCCCCTCGTGAGTAAAGAATACCTGGCAGCCAGCCACTGGGTTGCTGCCAATTCTGATACCGGATAAACTGTTGTCGGCTGAGTTCTTTAACTGTTGCCTGTCTGTGGGGGTGCGTGTGTGAGACGGGGACAGAACAAGTCCCTGTACATGAAGTTGCACCACTAAACATTGGCTGTGCTGGCTGGGATGATTAACAGCATTCAAATTCTTCGCCCCATTCTAATTCTGGAGTATCCTATAACAAAACTTCTGTACTCACCTCAAATGATCAGAAGTTGACTACAAGGGAATATGACATAGTACGAATGTCTTGCTTCCTTATTTTATCACAGTGACTGGCTAGTTTTTCTGGCTAAAATGTTACTAAAGGCAAAAGAAAGATATTTTCATTTTTGGGATATTATTCTTCTGACTATGTATTCTGAATGCATTCTTTTCTTGGTTAGATTTGATGTATCAGCCATTTATCCGAATTCCAAGAAGCCCAGTACTTTCCTTCAGGCCCCATACTGTAAGAGTGTCTGTTCAGATTTGGTGAGTATATTTCTTAATGTGTGTCACATCCACAAAGTAAAACTATTTTCTCCAGTTTCCTATCTATGTGGTTGAACAAGAACATACTGTTTTCACAATCAAAAAGATATTTTTGAAACCAAAACAAAAATTTGGGACTCCTGTATAATTCTCTGGAACGTTCTGATTCACAGAAATTTGGACTAAAAGATCTGGGAAAGCTACAAAAACAATAACCACTACTCTCCAACGTCATGCATTCTAATGTCCTTTTTTGTCTCTTGGCACCCGGTTGTATGTAAAGTTCTCATCCCTATCTCAGAAATTCTTCTCCACAATATAATGTTTTTCTGTTTCTTCCATTGGCATACTTTTTTTTTTTTTCATTTTGAGTTTCCAAAAATGTAGGAGCATGATCATTAGCTATCTATTGCTTGGAATACAAAAGATGCAATCATGTCTTGGCTGGTGTTTTACAGAAATCACAGAGAGAGCAGAAAGAAGTGGTGAGGTGGCCTAGGGGTGGAGCTCTTGCCTCACAATCAAGAGGTTATGAGTTTGATCCTAGGTAGAGGCAGGTATTTCTTTCTCTGGGCACAATGAGAATATAGCTGCTGAACAAAATTCCACATTGGAAACAGGAAGGGCATCCGGCCATTAAACACTCTGCTAGTTCCATTCAGTTGCCCAGACTCCACCCTGCAAGGGATTATGGGGTCGTTAAATGATGATGATGATGATGACACAGAGAGAGCAGAATGGATGTATCAGCTAACACCTGGAGAAAAATGTCTGTCACAGATTATAATATGCTTGAGTTTTGCTTAAGGTCAGCTATTCAAAGTTGATCAGACTAGAAACCAAAGTAATGCATACTTAAGATATTTTTATTACAAGGTTGTAGTAGCAAAATCTTTCAAGTCTGAAAAAGCTTCTCTTCTCCCTCTCTTTATCTTTGGGAGATATAACGGAGGTCTTGCCTGAGGTGCTTTCTCTAGTTGCAGTTTTGACCCAGATTAAAATTTCTTTTATCAGACAATTGTCTTGGTTGCAGCTTTTCCTCCTATTCCTCAAGGCTATTCCTTCTGCCCATTATTCTTAGTATGATATGAAATGTATCCTTTGTGGTTAAAAATGATAGCTTCCTTCTGGAACTCTGGGTTAGAGCCAGAGGTGGTGCTTGCAGAAGAGGAACAGATAATACACATATGGGTATGTGTTTCCATCTCGACATCACTAGTGTAAATTACACAATTGTATCATTAGTGTAATGACCTCACAATGCATATGTTGTCATTTTGACATCATCATGGTTTTTAATAGATACTGCTTTTCAATCTTTTGGCTAAAATCAAGGGCTATTTATTATCCTTGGTAAATTATTTATTGGTAAATAAATAGTTATTGGTACAGTATTTATTTCCCATGGTAATTTATATATTTCAATAGATGCTATGAATTCATACATCGCATCAAGCAAAAAGAAACTCATGATTTAGCACTTTGTACAAACCAGGCAATAGTGTATATTAGATCAAAGATGAAACAAAGTCCTATTATAGATGTTGTGAACTCTGATTTCTATTACCTTTCTATTACCTTATACTACCCATTCTGGATTACTTAATGGGAACAGTAGTCAATAACATCTGGATAGTACATAACAGAGGTGAGTTTCAGCAGGTTCTGACCAGTTCTGAAGAACCGGTAGCGGAAATTTTGAGTAGTTTGGAGAACCAGTAAATACCACCTCTGACTGGCCCTGCCCCCATCTATTCTCTGCCTCCTGAGTCCCAGCTGATTGGGAGGAAATGGGGATTTTGCAGTATCCTTCCCCTGCCACGCCCATCAAGCCACACCCACCAAGCCACACCCACCAAGCCACACCCACAGAACCGGTAGTAAAAAAATTTGAAATCCACCACTGTACACAAGTTGAATTACAGCACTTTGTACCTGATCTAGTCTATTTTTCAAGATGTATCTATGAATGAGAGAACAATATTAACATCATACTTTCTTTAGTGCCGAAAATTAGGACCAGGCACCTACGTGACCGACGATGGAAGCTTCAGCTCTACTGCGTTACAGAAGAAATCATCAAGCTCTAGCTGGGCCAAGGCTCAGGAAGCGGCTAGACTCACTCAAATGCCACATTTTAAATTTAAAGAAATATGCCAGCAGGAGAAAGCTCGGGTGAGTGGATCTATTTAAGTCCATGGCACTGAGTTCTGATAATAGGCTTTTCCATGCATTTGTTGAATCAATAAGATCTCAAAATGAGCAAGGTAACAAAACTGTTTGTTGTGGCCCCACTTTGTAAATTCCTCATATATGCCTCATTTTCAGGCTCCAGCTCACTGATATTATGGCTACTGGGTCTGTCCGCAAATGTCTGATTGACCACTAGATGCAGAAAAAGATTCTTGAAAATCCATTTCTTTATTATCAGGGAGTAAAAATTATCAGAGTCCCGGTAAACTTGTAATATAGTATAGGTTTTCATACTTTTCCTTGAACATAAAGAGAAATATCTTTGGAACTGTAGAGCCTGATTTATCAGACAAATGAACTGTGAAGGAGACTATCTATCTTAATAGAATGTAATTCCAAGGTTTGTTAAAGAACTACATCAAGTCTTCCTCTTTAAGATTACCATACTATTACCCAGTGATGATACATCCCTCACAGCAACACTAGAATTCAGAACAATGAATCCCATCCATTTGTCAGTCCATCCCATTTCTTTGTAAGAGTATTCTCTTATGTGTTCCACTCAACAATGGCAAATGTTAAGTTAAAGGCTCTCCGAAGGTAACTTGTCACATTGGTGTTATGAATAATTTTATTACTTTCCTCCAACATTTTTGGGACCCTTGCTCAAAATCTTCTAATTTATGTATAATTCTGCATTATATAAAATTATCTATGATTTACATCTTTGGCTAGAGACAGTTTTTGATATTCCTTTACTTTAAGCTAGTGGGCATTCCAATTTCTGCATGCCGGATATAATCCCTACAATTCATAAATGCAATCTAATGTTTCTTTGACCCACAGATCCCTGGCAAACACATTCACTGTCCAGTTGATCATTTGGGCATTAAGGAACATATTATTATAGCGGGGAGGAGACAAGATTCCACACTCATCCTAACCAAAATTTCCCGCTGTTCTTAAGAATGAGAAAACAATAGTTGTGAGCCAGAATGCTAGGGTACAAAAATACATTCACATGCAATATGTATATGTGTATCTCTCTCTCTTCCTCTCCCTCCCTCCAGCCTTTCTAACAGTTGGTAGCATCCATTTTCTCAACTGTGTTCTTATGTTTATTTTTCTCCAAGAAAAGAAAACTGGGACCTGGGACTTACAATCACACAGATTTTCTTCAGCTCATGGAAAAACAACCACACAGTATTAGAGGAATTTGTGATACTGGAGCAGTAAGATTTAAAGACTACATGAGGGTATGATTTAGTTTTTATCTTTGCTGGAACTAATAATTTGAAGAACATTAAAAAAATAAACTAAAGTTAGACTGGCTTCTAGGTTCTTCATCATTATTAGCATAGAATGATTCATACATTCATACATTCTATTACCCTTAGCACAGCCATATGATTAAGGTGTATGTAGTTCAGCACATTTGAATGATGGTCAGTGGAATAAACCTGGACTACAGTTTTTTTGTGAAACATTGAGAAAGAAAAAGTCCTGGAGATTGCTAATTAAAACATGGGGAGATGGTATGAGATCTAGAATAGTTCATTATAACTGGGGGAAAAAAAGCTGGGATCCTAAATGAAGAATATCAATTTCCAACCAAACAGAACAAAGCAACCAAAAATTCATGTTTATAAGGTATTATAATTTGTTGACTATGTAACTTTTTCGTTGGTTCTTGCTGTGGCACAGGTCTAAAAATAAGATTATTTTAAAGCCAGTTGAGGATTATTTTATTTCCATAACGGAACTTTGCATCTATAAAATCTGCATTGTGGGGCAGTGAGACTCTATACATCTCATCATCAGATTGCTACCTATATTTAAGGGATGTATCATGTTATTTGGTCCAGGTTTTCCACAATTAATCTTATTTTTTGAGTTTACACTGCAGACTGAACCAAAAACAAGTTGGGTTCACACAACATAGTTGATTAAAGTATGTCTAGGTGCAAACCATATAAACCCAGCCACATCCAACAACTTAGAAGACAATGCATTGGGAAAGATCATCAGAACTCTCCAGTGCAACAGAAGGAGAGGAAGCAGAACTCAGATGAGTTAATGTAATGTAAGAATATGGATATTGAGCATTGGAAGCTGAAGTTTTCCCCTACAACTGGAAGTTTCACTGCATTGTCATCTAGCAATCCTGATTCCAACCCACAATCTAGTGCCTTGCTGTTTTAAATTATAGCTACCTATAAACGAGCGTGGTTAGTGGTCAGGAAATATGATAAGTCATTGGCAAAAAATTCTGAAGGGTACCTGGCAGAGGTGGGTTTCAGCAGGTTCTGACCAGTTCTGGAGAACCAGTAGCGGAAATTTTGAGTAGTTCGGAGAACCGGTAGTAAAAATTCTGACTGGACCCGCCCCCATCTATTCTCTGCCTCCCGAGTCCCAGCTGATTGGGAAGAAATGGGAATTTTGCAGTAACCTTCTCCAGGAGTGGGGAGGGAATGGAGATTTTACAGTATCTTTCCCCTGCCACGCCCACCAAGCCACGCCCACAGAACCAGTAGTAAAAAAATTTGAAACACACCACTGGTACCCGGTGATTTATTTTGGGTCTAATTAGCCAATGTATTGGCTAGACTCAGGTATTTTGCCTACTAATATGTTAATGGCTGTGGCAATAATGGCTAGAAGAAAGCAAAGGTGTATGGAGTCATCCTTTGTTGTTTTTAGGTTGATCCCTCCTCTCTTCCCTCCCCCCCACTATTATGTTTTCCTTATCAAAAAGATTGCCAATGAAGGGACAGGTCACTCTTTCTATAGATCTGAGCTATTTGCCTGGAAAGAGTTTCTTCTCTCATTCAGTCTGCATTGTCCTCCCTCAATCTCTTGGCTCATTCATATCTCATATCTCACCCTTGGGCTTACTCAAGGGTGTACAGCAAGACGCACACTGTTGGAATAACAATGCCAAGTGGCATCTGTGGTGGGCAGGAGAACAATAAAATAGATCAAATCAGCAGTTGCAATGATGAGAATGAAGCCCTGGCTTTTTTGGACGTGTATCAGCATTGTGTGTCTGTATGTATAAAAAGGATATATGTGTGTGTGTGTGTGTGTGTGTGTGTGTGTGTGTGTGTATACACACATATATACATACATATATAAAAGGGATGTGGTGGCTCAGTGGTTAAGACACTGAGCTTGTCGATTGAAAGGTCGGCAGTTCAGCGGTTCAAATCCCTAGTGCCGTGTAACGGGGAGAGCTCTCATTACTTGTCCCAGCTTCTGCCAACCTAGCAGTTCGAAAGTATGTAAAAAAAATGCAAGTAGAAAAATAGGGAGCACCTATGGTGGGAAGGTAACAGCATTCCATCTTTGCGTCTTTGGCATTTAGTCCTGCCAGCCACATGACCACGGAGATGTCTTCGGACAGCGCTGGCTCTTCGGCTTTGAAACAGAGATGAGCACCGCCCCCTAGAGTTGGGAACGACTAGCACATATGTGCGAGGGGAACCTTTACCTTTATGTATGAAAGGTGGGATTTTGATTGCATGGATGCTACCATGAATCTTGGATTTTTTTTAATCACTTCCTTTCCATTCGACTTAAGCAGAAATAATTTCAGCTTAGTGTCATAAAGATGTAGAAGAATAGAGGTCATTCAAGCGTCAACCTAAGTTAGTAGTTATCTATTTGTCTTGTTTATAATTGGATAATTCATGTTATTCTGGCTTGAAAATATAAAAAGTTTTAGTCAACTCTCTCTGTTGTTGTCTGTAAGTATACTATCCAGCTGTGATTATGTGGTGTACCATACCAGAAATAAGCCAATCATATTTTAATGTTATGCAATCCAGCATAGTCCTGCAATGATGCAAACTAGCACCTGTGTAAAGATTGCATGATATAAAACCTGTTTTTACATTTTGTGTCTTAACATCATCATAAATATATGAGACGCATAGTTATATCCTGAAGTATATTTTTCATTTGTCTTCCTTTCCTCTTGACATCCAAGCCATGACTCTGATGTTTTTGGTATTCTCCAGCCAGCTTTATGTCTAAAACAAGCTTGCCACATCCTTGACTAACGGAATCCAATTCATTTGTTCAGATTAAGTAACCCTGATAAGGGAGACCTAAGATTGGCAGTTGGGTTACAGATTGTCCATTTCCATCAAAATAATCTGAAATCCATACTCTTTTTTATGAAGTCTCTGCTGGCAAATCTCTAACCCTGAGCATGTGTTGAAGAAAAAGAAAGAACAAGTTTGAAAGAAAAGATACACCTTTTATTCTTGATGCTTTTAGAAGCTACCACCAGGCAGACAACATGCTTCCTCAGCATGTTCCTCAGCAATGAAATTACATTTCTTCATTAGAGAAATGTTGACAACTGCTGGTAACTAACAGGCTGAGGTTGGTAACTGCAACACAAGAGTGACTCATGGTGGCTTAATAGATGAAAATCAATTTTGTATTACCACTATTCTACTTGCTAGAAAAATAATTGGCTAACTAATACTACGATAACTGCAGTATTTTCCATGTTGCTCTAATAACCTTAACTTTCATTTTACTAGGATAACAGTTATATGACTTTCCGATGGTTTTCCAAGGAAGATTTTAGTATTTATTTATAGTTAGCCTTTCCCTATCTGGCACTACTAGCTGTAATATGATAGATTGTCCATCACACAGTTAGGGAAGACTGTGTCCCATTAATATATTTCAAAAAATATTTCATCATCAGGAAAGTCTTGAAGGCAGGGGTAAGGGCAAAAAAGTCAAGATGGCAGCCATGGACACACAATTTCAGTGCTACCCCCTTTTCATATATGCATCACATATGCAACACATATAAAAAAAGGTAAGAGTTTGATTTCAGGGTTATGGCTGCCATCTTGAGTTTTCTTTTATCCTCTATCCCATCCTTCTGCACTTCACTATCATCAACGTGGCAAATCTTATCCTTGCAATATTAATTTTATTATTCTATATTTGTAAACCTGATATGTGAAGTGCATACATTAATGACAGGAAATCAATTTTTAGCATTTTTCTACTTAAAAGGGCTTCAACGAACTGTTTATTATGCAGGAAAAACTAATATATAATCTTCAGATCGATGCTTATCTAAGCACCAGTGAATGAACCTAATATGTTTTTCCGTGGCATGGTTGACGTGCTTGTCATTGCAACATAACAAACAGAAGCCAAGAAATAAGCAAATTTCCTATTCTGCCAAAGTCTTTATTTATACAGCATGTTTAAGAAGACAAAGGGCAGGATAAATATATTTTGTAAGCACCACAGCTCAGTCAGCAGTGGGGTAAGGAATGCTCCTAACGCCAAATAGTGCTGGGTATATTTTAGGTTAAACTATGTTTCCCTGGTGAGTAAATTATAAAACTGAATCCTTAGATCTGTGATGGCGAACCTATGGCACGCGTGCCCGAGGTGGCACACGGACCCATGTCACCTGGAACATGTGGTGTTGCCCGTTCCTCTTCTATGTTTCCGGCGTGCATGCGTGCGCGATAATCAGCTGGCCTTTTTGTGTGCAGCAGTGCCAGAAACTGGAAGAGCTGGTTTTCCGTTTTCTTGCATGAGCCAGCCAGTTGATTGTCGTGCACGCATATGTGCTAGAAACATGAAAGACTAGCTGGCCGGCATGCATGCGTGTGCCGGAAACCCAAAGTTCATTTCTGGGTGCGCATATGCGCCCTGGGCAGCTTCTCTTCTGGGTTGCGGCCCAGATGAGTGCACACGCGCTCCCTGTTCAGCACTCAGTGCCAAAAAGGTTCTCCATCACTGCCGTTTTTAAAATTTTTATTTTCCATTTTTCCAATTTACATAACAAAAAGCATTTTTTAACAATACTGTGTCATGTGTCTCTTACAGTTATCTACATTTATTTCTATACATTATTTGTTTCTCTGTTCTAATCATTTATACCACTTATCCCAAACCTCGTAAAATTCTTTTTCTTCTTTGTCTTTTATTTCTAATGTGAGCTTATACATCTCAGCACATTCTAATATCTTATGAATAATCCTCTCATTGACTGGTATATTTTCAAGTTTCCAACATTGGGCATAAATGATTCGTGCTGCTGTTACCATATGTAAAATGATATGTTGGAGTTGCTTCTTTATCTTTTGATGAATTATTCCTAATAAAAATAATTCAGGTTTAAATTCAATTTGTTCTCCTGTTATCTTCTGTAACCATCTCCTTATCTGTTCCCAATATTTCTTTGCTTTGGAGCATTGCCACCAATGTGATAGAATGTTTCGTCCTTATATTTACACTTCCAGCAGTCCATCTGCCACCTACCTCTCCCCTCCCCCTTATTCTGGCTGGCCCTGAGCGCCCAAGGGAAGCGCCGGGTGGCTATTTTGAAAGGGGCGGGAACAGTTTATACAAGCTGCGGGATAAGTGCATTGCATTTCAGGCGGCGGCTGATCCCAGCCCGTGCTGCTGCCTGAAAATTCTGTATCAGATCAATTGTTTAGTTTATTAGCTTCTCCAGATCTTTTCATTCAATCTCCACCTGCTGAAACCTCCCCAAAGGTCCCTCCGAGTGGCCCTTGCAAACTCCCCTGCGCTCCCTCTGCCCCATGCCAGTGAGGCCAGGAGCTGCCGTTGCTCAGGGCCCGAGCCCCCCAACCAGCAGCCGCAGCCGGGAACCAGAGCTCCACTTTCCCCAAAAGGCTGGCAAACTTTGAGTCCAGCAACTATTTCCTGACCACGTGTCTTCCAGCATAAATAGCAATTTTTGTTAGGAAATTTCTTTGAACTTTTAGAAATAATCTGTTGCATATCAGTAATCTTTCAGCTACAAGTCTTATCCAGGGGAGTACCAGGAAACAAGTCTGCTCCTGCTTCTGCATCCTTTTCTCCAACTTAAACATAACCATATCCATTTCTTTCCACTATAACATAGGATTTTGTTTCCCTGAGAAGACTTCAGCATGAAAAGGAGAAAAATCTACCTAAAGAATGTCTGCTAATATTATATAGATCTCATTAGATCATATTAAATTAAATAATGATAGTCAACTTTGGACATATATATATAAAAATATCTCTCTCTCTTTCTTTCTCTTCCTCCCTCTCTTCCTTCCTCCCTCCTCCTCCCTTCTTTCCTCCCTCTCTCTCCCTCCCTCCCTCTCCCTCTCCCTCTCCCTCTCTCTCTCTTTTTCCTGGTACTCTTAGGAATGTTATCCTGGCCCTGGCACCTATGGAAATCCTTATGACAAACTACAAGAAAGAGAAAAAACCCCAGTCACTGCTGTAGGGTTAATGGATAGTAAAACTCCTAAACAATTCACCCTCATCCACGGGGCAAGTATATCCTCTTGATTTTCCACCTCACTGTTGTATGTGACTAATGCTCCCACAGAAGCAACAACTCAACAATTCACTTGTTGAATATGGACTATAAACCCTTCCCCTTCTACACCTCTCTATGGTCCAACTGTGCTCTGACAACATTTTTAAAAATTATTTTTGGCTGCATCCCCCTGAAGCTCATCTCACCTGAATCCATGAATGGGGCAAGCATAAATCCTTTGAAGCCAAAGCATCCAATGACAGCTGCAAAACAAAACTACTCAAAAGCTCCTCCATGCTACTGGAACAAAATTGAACAAACTTTTCTTAATGGGTTACAAATAGCTTTGCAACCGTCCAATGGCAGTGCTTACTTGACCCTTATATTTCTTTTTGATTTCCCATGGAGCATGGAGTCAAGTGCTGGATCTCCAGATAGAGCATAACTACTTCTAGATAGGGATCAATGTTCACCTGCTTAAACATAGCTGTTTTCATGTGTCTCTGTCTGATGCTTTTTCTCCTGATTGAATTTAGGGAAGCGGTTTGGGACCTGGTACTTACAATATCAAAAATAGTGTGGATGAGATGTTGAAACGGGTGGTCAGTATTCGAGGTCCCTATGAAACCTTCACCGGCAACAGATCAAAGCCTATGGTTTCTGGACATTTTGCTGGTGATGTATGTGTTCTCCCTTTTCTGCTTACAAAAAGTTCTTCACAGTTTGGTTAGTAATATGTAGACTTCCCCAACTGAATGCTCATCAGATTTATTACCGGGGTGAAATGCTCCGAGTTCGGACCAGTTCGGCCAAACCGGCAGTGATGACGGCCAGTGGTTCGGAGAACTGGTAGTGATGGCAACTCGTGGCTCTGCCCACCTGCCCAGTTGTCGTAACTTCCCGGTTTTAACCAGGAAGTAACCTGTGATTTACCCTGTGCACATACGCAGAAGGGTTTGCGCATGCACAGAGGGTCGGCAGGCGCACTTCCGAACCAGTAGGTTAAGTAGACTACCACCCCTGATTTATTGGACTAATGCTTTGATCCATGGATGATCAAAGCTGTAGGTAAAGATTTGGGAAGACACAAAATTGAGGAAGGCTACAATTTGACTGAGACAATTTCAACACAGGAATAAATCCTTTTTCTCAGTCACTTAAAAAAAAAAACTTCTAGGACAGGAGTATCCAATCTTGAAGACTTGTGAACTTCAACGTCTCTAGCCAATAGGCTCTAGTATTTTAAGAAGAATAGAATTAAGAACTTTTCTGGTTGGGAATTTTCTTTTTTTAAAAAATAAAAGTGATAAATGTTGTAATATTATAATAGAAACAAATAATGAGTCAAGTTATATGTTGCAATCCTGTATTAGATTTGCATTCTATGAGTCCTGCACTCAGTTAAGGAAGCTTAGATTCAGAAAACTGAATATTTCAGTTAAAACCACCGTTTTGCGGTGGTTCTCCTCCTATCTCTCCGACCGGTCGCAATCCGTGTTGACAGGGGGGCAGCGGTCAACCCCGAGGCGCCTTGTTTGTGGGGTGCCACAAGGGTCGGTCCTCTCGCCCCTCCTGTTCAACATTTATGTGAAGCCGCTGGGTGAGATCATCCGTGGTTTTGGGGTGGAGTTCCATCAGTACGCTGATGATACTCAGCTGTACATCTCCACCCCAGACCATCCCAACGATGCCTTGGAAGTGATGTCCCAGTGCCTGGAGGCCGTGCGGGTCTGGATGGGGAGAAACAGGCTCCGACTCAACCCTTCCAAGACCGAGTGGCTGTGGCTGCCGGCGTCCCGGTATAGCCAGCTGACGCCATCGCTGGTTATTGGGGGTGACTCATTGACCCCCACGGAAAGGGCCCGCAACTTGGGCGTCCTCCTGGATGCACGGCTGTCCTTAGAAGGGCATCTGACGGCCGTGGCCAGGGGGGCTTTTTATCAGGTTCGCCTGATACGCCAGTTGCGCCCCTTTCTGGATCGGGACTCCCTACGCACAGTCACTCAAGCACTCGTCACTTCTCGTCTGGACTATTGTAACGCTCTCTACATGGGGCTCCCCTTGGGGTGCACCCGGAGGCTCCAACTGGTGCAGAATGCGGCCGCGCGGGGGATTATGGGAGCGACTGGGCGCTCCCATGTGACTCCTCTCCTGCGCGAGCTGCATTGGCTTCCGGTGGACTTCCGGGTGCGCTTCAAGGTGTTGGTGACCACCTTTAAAGCGCTCCATGGCTTAGGGCCGGGGTACTTACGGGACCGCCTTCTGCCACCAATTGCCTCCCACCGGCCAGTTCGCTCCCACAGAGAGGGCCTCCTCAGGGTGCCGTCGGCTAGACAATGCCGGCTGGCGACCCCCAGGAGGAGACCCTTCTCTGTGGTGGCACCTACCCTTTGGAACAATCTACCCCCAGAGATACGAGTGATCTCCGACCTCCGGACCTTTCGTCGGGCCCTAAAAACTCATCTCTTTCAGTTAGCCGGTCTCTCTTGATTTTATGATTTTATGGTTGGTTTTAAATTTTGATATGGATTTTAAATTGATAAATTTTAAACTATGGGCCAAATTTAATTATTTTAAATCTATTTTTAATCGTATTTATGTATAAATGTTTTTATTTTGGCTGTTCACCGCCCTGAGTCCGAAAGGAGAAGGGCGGTATAGAAATCCGAATAATAAATAAATAATAAATAAATAAAATATCACACTGTTTCCCTGACAGGAAGACAACGCTGAATTTAAGACCTTTTTCAGAAAAAGGAAGATCAGAAAACAACATGTTTAATAATGGATTGATTACTGCTCTGGAGGAGTGCTAAAACTGTGCTTCAAAGGAACCTGAACAACAGCTGACAAGTGTGGTGAATCAGCAGAAAAAGAAGTGACTTGTGAAATCCTTACCACCACGCTTGCATCAAGCTAGGCTGCTTGTGATCCCTGGTTTAGCACTCTTCCAGAGCAGTAGTAAATTTATATTCAAGAGAAGCACAAGCAAAAGCTGAAGTCAAATGGAGATAACCAGATCACATACACGTCCTTCAGCTATTTGGTTTAAGTCAGGTTCCAAGCTTGGAGTAGTTCTATGATAGGTTAGAACTACCTTTTCCTGAGAGGACGTGATGTTAAGAAGGTGATGGTGGAGAACAGGCTTCCTGGCATAGGAAATGACTATATCAGTGATGGCTAACTTTTTTGCCATTGTGTGCCAGGAGGGGGGTATGGGGGAGGGTTCGCGTGCATGCCCACACCCATAATTTTATGCGCCCTGCCCTGCGCATATGCGCGCAACCCCCCTCCCCCCCACTCCTGGCATGCGATGGCCAGGTAGGCCTGTTTTTCTTTCTCACCAGGCTCCAGATCCTCACTATGCATCTGGGGAGGGCAAAAACAGCCTTCCCCACTACCTCGGAGATCCTCCGGAGCCAGAAATTTTTAGTAGTTTGGAGAATCGGCAAATATCACCTGTGGCTGGACCCAGAGTGGGGTGGGAATGGAGATTTTGCAATATCCTTCCCCCTGGAGTGGGGAGGGAAGGATTTTGCAGTATCCTTCCCCTGCCACGCCCACCAAGCCACGCCCACAGAACCGGTAGTAAAAAAAATGGATTTCACCACTGAACTAGAATGACCTGTATAGTACATTCTACCTATTTTCATTACTAAAGCAATTTTTTTTTTAATTTAATCATGGCAGAGAAAAACATCTGAGCTGTCTGGCTGCAGTATAAAATCCTTCCTGGATGAACTGCAGACAAGGGAGAAAAAGAAACACGGTGTTTTTAGTACATTTTCACGGGATCCAGATTGCCCAACTGAACGGATCTTCTGGTCCAAAATTGGCATGTTTCCACGTGAACAAGTAGGTGACTTTCCTTGGCTTCTTCAGCGATAATTCAGTGCTGATTTTCTTCTGCCATTACCAATGCGGATGGGAACAGAATGAAATACAATTTGCTTTTTTTAAAGAAGGTATTTTTCTTTTTTCTGCTTTTCAAAGTATCAAAATAGTTTCTCTAAGCAGAAAACATTAAAGGACATACAGAATTATATTTACTAGGCAGATGTGCAAAGAAGAATGGGGCAGGGGGGTTGCGGGGAAGAAGTGGCAAGCAAATATTCTCTGTTTTTCTGTAATGGGAGTTTAATGAGGATGATGAACATATAGCAATATCAGTTAATAACAGAAAACATTTGCCTGTGTTTTTTTTCCTAGTTCCAAACAGGACCAGGCTCCTATGACATAAAGCCTATTAAGAGAACAGAATATAAAAACCAACCACCCTTCTGGATTGGTGCGAAAAGATTTGACCGAAGAGCATACCGTCTCTGTTTTGGAAATACAGTAAGGGGGAAACACGATTATAACTCCTTTTCTCATTGCTGCCCTGGCACTTTGTCCAAGACACCCAGTATGTATGGAGCTCCTCAATCATCCAGGTCATACAGATGGTCCTTGACTTACAACAGTTCATTTAGTGTTCAAAGTTACAATGGTACAGAAAAAAGTGACATCAAATTTTTCATACTTACGAACATTGCAGCATCCCCATGATCACGTGATCAAAATTAAAATACTTGGCAACTGACTCCTATTTATGATGTTTGCAGTGTCCCAGGTCATCTTTTATGACCTCCTGACAAAGCAAAGTCAATAGGGCAGGGGTGTCAAACTCGTGAGGAAACATTGTCATCACTTGACGTATTTTTCCCCTTTGCTAAAACGGGGGTGGGCATGGCCAGCACGTGACGCATCCAGCCCCCCAGGCCACGAATTTGATACCCCTGCAATAGGGAACCAGATTCAGTTAACAACTGTGTTGCTAACTTAAAACTGCAGTGGTTCACTTAACAACCATGTTAAGAAAGTTTGTCAGATGGGGCAAAATTCACTTAACAAATGTCCTGCTTAGCAACATAAATTTTGGGTTCAGTTGTGGTTGTAAGTCAAAGACTACCTGTAGTTGTCCCAAAGGTGCTTTTTCCAAAAAGCAACTGACTTTTCTTGAGGGGTTTTTTTTTCCTTTGAAAACATTTCACTTCTCATCCAAGAAGCTTCTTCAGTTTTTTCAGTTCAGAATAGAAGCTTCTTGGATGAGAAGCAAAATGTTTTTCTCAAAGGAGAAAAAACCCAAGAAAGTTTCGTTTAGAAAAAGTCTCACTTCCCCACTCAAGTGGATGCAGCTGGCAAAAACAATTCTGATTTCCATTTGTGAATCCATGACAAGGCTTAAGAAAACAGTTACCTGTCTACACAAAGATTCAGGCTACATATGCTAAGTGATTGGAACAGGTTTCCCCTGATTTAGTGCATAATTGTCTGCATATACCGTATGGTGTGCTACGTGAAATAATGCTATTTGTGCCACAATTTCTCCTCAGAGGAATAGCTAAATAGCAAAGATCACTCTGCCAAAAATACAAGCTAAGTTCTATCACTAAAGAACTGGTGGGCTGAGGGCAAACAATGCTGAGGCAGATGATCCAACTCATGTGGTTTAAAGCAACTCTGGAGTAGGTCTTGGATGAAATATCAATAGCTGAACTATAATAGCTTAACTTCCCTATTGTCCAGAGACAGAATAATCAAACCTAGAATTCTTTGATATAAAGCCAAGATATGGTGATTCTAAGAGACCTCTGTGTAATTTACATATTTAATCTTAAGAAGAGTCAGCAGTTTTTCCTTACAAGAATACTGGTATCCATACAATATTGTATTTCTTGGCTAGCAAATGTGACTAACAAGCAGAACTGGAGTGCCTAACACCAGACATGTCACTAGAAGACAAAACATGTAGAAGTCACTGAAGAAAGCAGTTGTGTTTGTAAGAGTTAGCAGTAAAAGGAAACCAGGCCATCAAAAAAACAAGGTAGCTGACTGGACACCATCAAAGCTGACACCAGTCAGAGCATAGAAAAACTAAAAGAAATAGTGCAAGATTGGAAGATGTGGAGAGATCTGGCCCATTGAATCGCCAAGAGTTGGACTCAACTGAATTGACATCATTATCATCATTATAGATTTAGATCAGATAAAGTAGTATGTATCTTCCAACATTCTCTCCACAAAGACCAACTAGCTTCTATTATATGAATTAGAACAAACAGGTGATAATCCTATATCCTTCAAAGTTAAGATTTATACCGATATCAAGTGCATTTGAGACACAGCATCTATTGACTGATTGATTGATTGATTGATTGATTGATTGATTGATTGAATGAATGAATGAATGAATGAGTGAATGAGTGAGTGAGTGAATGAATGAATGAATGCTTCCCCCTTCCATTTGTGTACCCAATTCGTGGGAACTTTTGAGATTCCACCAAATTCAGTTTTAGTAACATTATCTATATACTGTTAAGGTAATAAAATGCAAACATGGAATAATCGAGATATATTTACACACTATGGTTGAAAGTTGGAGAATTGTCATCATTTTCAACAGAGAGCATTCCAGCTGAACTTTCAGTACCAATTGCATTCTCAATGTGGCATGGCTGCAGACATAGCAAGAACTAACAACACATGGCTGTGAAGCACTTCTGCAGTACCTCTGCAATAGATGAAAGGCAATTTGTATTGAAGGATGGAAAATACTTCATCCTAAGCAAAGTTTTATTTTGGTGGAGCTCAGTTGCTCAGGATTTCATAAAATAAGGGAGTACTTATGATCCTGTGAAAATCATAGTGTGGTAAGAAGGATACATTTTTTATTGTTTTCCAACCTTGTCTTGTTGCTTCTCCAGCTTTGTTTTATGCTGTTGAGTATTGTCTGGACTGTCTTAGTCACTTCTTTCCTTTCCTTTCCACATTCATCAAAGGATGAATGATCATCCTTTGGTGATCATTCCAAGATAATCTTTCAAGTAGCTTAATTCCATAGCTAGTAGGGCATGTCAAAATTTTCAACTTTCAATTTCCAAACATTAGGGGTGCTCAAAAGTTGTGACATGCCTTGGGGATTGTAAAGATGTTTTGGTTATTTTAATATAATTTAGATGTTCTTGGTAAGTAAGTACATAAATATCATATGTTTTTAACATTTTGTTTCATTAGTTAGCTCCTAGTATTGTTCCTCCCTCTTCTTCAACTTCACAGAGAAATCCATGTGACGTCAATATAGGAGCAATTTGCCATGACCTTGCTTTGAAGTGGGCAACCAAGAAGATTTAAGCACTCACTATATCCCCAATGCTCTATTCTACAGAATCCTGTCGGTGTTGGCCGCTATGATACCACAAGGCATGAGAAATATTCAAAGAAGTTGAGATACCGTTCCCTTTATATGAATGAAACACAACGTTATCTTAGTAACTTGGAAAAGGACAAGTGTTTACAGTAAGTGAAACATGATAGGAATGACAAATCATTTTTTAAAAAAATCCCCGAACTTCCATTACTTTTGGAATTTTTATTTTTAATTTGCATGTCTGACCTTGTTATGTAGTTGTTTTGTATGTAGTTTAAATTCACATTTACTTTCTAAAATGAAATTTATCCATTTGTTTGGAATATTTATCCTGATTCCCACTGATACACACAAAATCTTGCACTGTAGATGGAATTGAATTCATGAAACAGATAACAACCAGGATTTAACAGGACAATGTTTAGAGTGAAGATGTTATTATAATTATCCTCTCTATTTTGCTCTACCTCTAAATTCTCTCGACTCTAAACTTCATGCCATAATTTGGACCGTGTTCCAGTTTTCAGAATCTTTAAATCTCTCCCTATGTTCATGATCAATATAATTCTGTAAAGACAAGTGCACAAAATCTTAATGTGATCTTTTATGTATCAATATAATCATAATTACTACCCTATGCAGTTTTATTCATACACTTTACTCTGCATATTAGCAAAACTAGCATGTGTACGCATCAGTGGTGGGTTCCAATCGGTGTTACCACCGGTTCTCTTCACGCATGTGCTTTGCATCTTTAATCAGTATGTCCAATTGTTAGGGATGCTAATTCAGTGATATCTGGATGAACATATGTTCTCAACCTTGGCTTTGATAAAGGATAGAATATGTAAACAATTTATTGATTTTTTTTCCCGCAGGGAGAGGATCACTCCTGTTAATAAAGGTCGCCAGAGCAACCCAAAATCTGCCTAAGAAATTGTTGCATCTGAAAAAAAAAATACTCTTAAATAATCATGTATGAGTTGTATGCCTACGTAGTTTTAGTTTGGCCAGCCTAACTGCAGGACCTAAAAACTGAAAAGATACACGGAGGAATCTCTTATTGACTAATAAGCTCTTGAAAATTTGGGCACTCACTTTCACCTTTTTTTTAAAAAAAAAATCAAGGTATTCGTTAGAATTTTGTAGCTGTAGGTTTCTCTTTTAAAATCAGTGTGCTGCCATAATTATGTCAATACTATATTAAAATTGCTAGAAACTTAAATGCTTGCTATTCATTTAGCAACTACGTGTAAAATGTTGTCCTTTATTGAATTGAAAAGGGGGGCTATTGTTTCTGATTCTGATTCTCACAGGCCACAGTTGTTATCAGATTTTTTTTTCCTGGATTCTGGTAAAAGAGTGCAGATCAAGGACAGTCTGTAGTGCAATAAGTTCATTGCAGTTCAATGTTTAATTTTTAACAATAGGGTCTCATTAGAATCCATAGCTTTTAAAAATTAAAAGACTTATATAAGAAAAGATCAAGTCATGGGCTGTATCCAGTGGAGAGAAATTACTGCTTTTCCATTTAAAAATAATGACATATTAATGTTGTATACATGATTTCTAGCTTTATTGGCCAGCTATTATATTCTTTCTTGTGTTTCTTGAACTTCTCAGTTCATATCCATTGAACAACCATTACGGACAGCACAGGGCTTTCCTAAGCTCTATTTACATGAAAAGAACTACTTTCCTACCTCCCCCCTCCCCATTTTACTTTTAAAATGGTGAAGGCAGGCAATCTTAGCTCCTTTGGTACAGAGGACTGGTCTGTCTGGTCTGAGATGTAGACTGCTTCTACATCTACACACATTAAGTTCAGTGGTGGGTTTCAAATTTTTTGACTACCAGTTCTGTGGGTGTGGCTTGTGGGCCTGGCATGCTTGGAGGGCATGATTTGGTGGGCATGGCAGGGAAAGGTTACTGCAAAATCCCCATTTCTTCCCGATCAGCTGCGACTTGGGAGGCAGAGAATAGATGGGGGCGGGGCCAGTCAGAGGTGGTATTTACCGGTTCTCCAAACTACTCAAACTTTCCGCTACCGGTTCGCCAGAACTGGTAAGAACCTGCTGAAACTCACCTCTGGTTAAGTTTAAGAACGTGAGCTTGACTCCTGTTCTAGCTGAAAAGCAGCAAAGGCAGTTTTATCATGGGGAGAAGGTAGGTAGGGCAACCCGGTGGTGTATCCGTTCCAGAATTGATTCAAAGATATGTGTAAATAGATAAAAGCCCTCTATGGATGTTCACAACTGGGGTGTGACAAGGAGAAGACCAAATGACAAGTGCCACCTCAGCTAAAGCTCTCCTGCAGAGCCCCAAGGAATAATTGGCTAAAAAGTAGTTACTCTAATGGAATTTAAACCTCCTTTTTGCCTAGAATGATCCTCATTTGAGAAAAAGGAACAAAGGATTATAAACATGGATTAATGATTCAAGGGCATCATCTGAACGGTCTGGTGTGAATGAATGGTGTGAACTGATGCCAATGCTATAAACTCAAATGCACACATCAATAGCAAATCAAAACCTCTTGACAGGGAGGATGTCTTGGCTGAAAATGGACTGCAAGGATAGGGTTATATTTTGCCTATGAGCAGAAACATACTCATGTTCCGATAGTGATAGCTTTATCCCATATTACATACTCAAGGCTCCAGGGCCACAAGCTGTTCCCCCACTCACAAACTCTCTAGACAGTTTCATATTGTTTTTGCTGTTGCTGTATTAGATTTTTATTACATCCCTCTCAGCCAGTTATAAAAGAATTGTTTATAAATATACTAAACTTAAGCGCATTGTATAACATTTTGGTTTTGTTCTGGATTACAACCCATGACAAAAAATGTGTATCCTGCTTTATCCTATTGGATCTCCCCTTCTCAAATAGTAATTGTGGGTTTTTCATGGTCACAGGGGCAGTGGTGAAATCCAATTTTTTTTACTACCGGTTCTGTGGGCGTGGCTTGGTGGGTGTGGCAGGGGAGGGATACTGCAAAATCTCCATTCTCACCCCACTCCAAGGGAAGGATATTCAAAATCCCCATTCCCTCCCCGCTCCTGGGGGGAGGATATTGCAAAATCTGCATTCCCACCCCACTCTGGGGCCAGCCAGAGGTGGTATTTGCCGGTTCTCCGAACTACTCAAAATTTCCGCTGCTGGTTCTCTTTAACTATTCAAAATTTCCACTACCAGTTCTCCAGAACCTGTCAGAACCTGCTGGATTTTACCCCTGCACAGGGGTGATAAAGTAGTTCTGGAGAATTTATATTAGCATAGACAATTATACTAAAAACATTAATCCCCAGTAAAAAATTGTACTTTTTGAATGTATCATTCCTTCGTTCTCATGCTTCCCTCTGGAGCTTGCTAGCTGGAGAATTCTGGGAGTTGAAGTCCACACATCTTAAAGTTGCTAAGATTGAACAACACTGCTTAGGAATTTAATATTGAATGATATCAGTGGCACTTTGTTATTTAACATACAGACACTTAAAATATTAAATACAGATATTCATTGATTTACAATAGTTCGTTTAATGACCGAAATTACAATGGCACTGAAAAAGAGACTGTTGCAGCATCCCCAAGGTCATGTGATCTGAATTCAGTTGCTTGGCAACTGATTTATGCTTATCAGGAGTGCAGTGTCCCAAGGTCACATGATCACCATTTGTGACCTTCTGAGAAGCAAAGTCAATGGGGAAGCCAGATCCACTTAACAACCGTGATACTTAGCAGCTGCAGTGATTCACTTAATACGGCAAGAAAGGTCATGAAATGGTTCAAAGTTTACTTAACAACTGTCTCTTTTAGGAACAGAAATTTTGGGCTCAGTTTGTGGTTGTCAGGTGAGGATTACTTATATTTGGTATGGAGTAGAGATAAAACTGAAGCATATTTGGGAGCCAAGCACTTAATATTCATTCCTATTCTCAATATATTTAATTTTTTTTGAGAATCCAAACTTGAAAACAATGGAGTTTGGAGTAAGATTGTGACAGCCAGAGAAAGTCCACTAATTAGAATTTCTGACAGCACAAATGATTAGTGTTGGTATCCTAATCTCATACATTTTTGCCTAGGACTGTACTATTCATCAATAGATTTTTACCAAGGATAAGAAATCAATTTTTTCCTAATTTAAAGGTTAACTAAGGGCAGTAACAGCAGATCCATCACATACCTATGAATCCCATTGCACCAAATGACTTATATTAGATGTATAATAAAGGGAAAAAAGTATTGTCAACACAATTTTATTCAGGCACACCATAGCTGTTATTATAAGGAAATAGTACAAGTTCTGCCCAAGTGCAGCAGTACATCACTGACAATTGCAAAACAAAGTATGCTGATGCTGTTATTATATTTACCTGCATGATTGGAATAGTGTGCTGATTGTTGCAACAAAAATCAAACTTGCAGATACAGTAATACCTTGATACTCAACTGCTTTGAAACTCATTGAATTTGTATTTTAACACGTTTAAGGTGAAAATTTTGTTCCGGTACTCATTGTTTTGATAGTCAACACAAGTCAGTGTTAGCTGACTTGTGATTCACTACATTATTCCTTATGACTAAAATTTGTTTGGTACTCATTGTTTTTGATACTCATCACACCTCTTGGAACCAATTAGTGATGAGTACCAAAATACCACTTTATTTATCTTACTGTATATAACCTGAGGCACATTCCAGAAATTACACAAATATTGAGCCCAGTCTAATTTCTGATTTGCTTCTGCATTCAACTTATGCCTGATGCTCTGATGTCATTATGCAGATATTTTATAGGTTCCACCATATGGGAATGGTCCTCAGATGTCTGGGAAGGCACTAGAAGAGTTGTAAGCAAGTTTTTCTCTCAAGGAATGTTTAGATTTCAACATGGATATGAGCTATTTCTGGATTAGTCTAAAACAGGGGGCTCCAAACCTGGCAACTTTTAAGACTTGTGGACTTCAACTCCCAGAATCCCTCAGCAAGCATAGCTGACGAATTCTGGGAATTGAAATCCACGTCTGAAAATTGCCAGGTTTGGAAACCTCTGGTCTAAAATATGCTCTTACTGGTTCACTCTACCAGGGGTGTCAAACTCACATCATCATGGTAGAGTCATGTGACATATTAGGACTTTTTCCCCCTTCGCTAAACTGGGCGTGGCAGTGGCCAGCTCATGAGGCATCTGGCCCGTGGGCCAGGAGTTTGACAGCCCTGCTCTAAACCAATCTCTCCATTAAATACCAAAAACTGTTTAAAACTCTATAGACAGTTCAGATGTTAAGATACTGTAAGTATTAAATACAAATAATTAATTATTTGCTAGAACTGTGCATATCTTAGTCCTTGGATCCAATTTTGGTTAATATTGGTGACATTAAAACATACACAAAACTCAAATAAAACCCCTTTAAAATCATGTAATTATCGACTGTTCTTAGGGCTAGCCAACCACCTATTTGCTGTAATATTAAATTATAGGAATACATTGATGCAGGAGACACTTTTCTAGCTTATCTATTGCCACTCCAGTCAAAAAGCAGAGAAAGGTTTGAGTGTAAACTATCTCAAGTCTGAATCAAGTATTCCAAAGTGCAGGCCACAATATGGGACAAAACTCAGAATACTATTACAGTATCTATTCCAAGCAGCTTTGTTTCAAGAGTTTCAATTATCAACAACATCCAGATAATTATAAAAATTGATATATCAGTAGCGTGTATTTATCTAATGGTCAAAGCTCCCAGCAACGCTGTCTTTACCAGTAATGTTAAGTTTTAGGTGGAAAGAGGTTAAAGAGATCCACCCTCCAAGTAGTTTTTTTCAAGCATTTCTCACATCCACTGTATTCCTGAAAATAAGAAGGCCTAAAACAATCCAGTTTCTTTCAGGTGATTTAAGGCACTAAACAATCTGAGTAGAAGAAAAATATGACAAATCCTATAACAGTAACAATGGAAAGAGGAGGGAGGGAGGAATACTTCTTCTATATGATGCTATTAATAATTAACCATCTACCATATAAATCAGAGGTCTTCAAACTTGGCAGCTTTATGACTTGTGGACTTCAATTCCCAGAATTCTCCAGCCAGCATAGCAGTGTATTCTGGGAGTTGAAGTCCACAAGTCTTAAAGCTGCCAAGTTTGAAGACCTCTGATATAAATCTTCACCACCACTCACAGGTAGTCCTTGACTTACAACAGTTTGTTTAATGAACATTCAAAGTTACAACAGCACTGAAAAAAGTGGCTTATGACAGTTTTCACACGCTCAACCATTGCAGCATCCCCATGGTCATGTGATCAAAATTCAGATGCTTGGCAACTAGTTCATATCAACGGTTGCAGTGTCCCGGGGTCATGTGATCCCCTTTCTGAGAAGCAAAGTCAATGGGGAAGCCAGATTCATTTTACAACCATGTTCTTAACTTAACAACTGCTGTGATTCACTTAACAACTGTGCTAATGGGGGACAAGCCATTTAATAACTGTTTTGCTTAGCCACAGAAATCCTGCACTCAATTGAGGTTGTATGTCAAGGACTACCTTTACCATGAATTTCATGAACAAAATAAGCATAAAATAGGTAGACCTGACAATGAATAGAATACCGTTGCTATTTATATCAGATTACTGATAGCCCTCTTTACTATTAAAACAGAAATACAAACTTGTACTATGGAGAAATACATTATGGAACTGTTAAACCAGCATTCATAATCCAACAGACAGATTACTGGAAGGCAAAAAAAAGCAGTAACATTTCTAAACAAGGGGGGAAAAACGTTTTAAAAAGTTTTTGTCTTCTTCCTGGGGACATGTCTGTAACAGTCTTTTTTTTTCCTTCAGCACATAAAACTTTGATGAAAACTATCAAAGAAAAAATGTCAGCAAAATGAGAGACACAGAGAGAGGGTATTGTGAAGAACATATACTAATTCAAAAAATAGTCTCCAATCCATAGTATTCAAAACGTTCAGACAGGTTATAATTATGACTTTATTGCGAATTATGACTTTTCAACCCTGGGCAAAGAAACCTATCTGATATAGGCAACTGTGACATTAGAAAGGCAGTTTTATTTGGCACAACTCTCAGAAAGAGCCTATGGTACATCTGTAATAGCAGACCTTGCATACATCTCCCACTCATTTATCTATAAGTTATTCTTCTATTTTAAGGTTCTGATTTTTCTATTCCCCTTCTACTAAATATATCAATCTATACCTAAGCTATCATTAAACCACAGTGGTCAAAAATGGAAATTCCTAGAAAGAAGATAAAGAAGCATACACATTTTTAAGACAAATACTACCAATTATATTTTCATACAAAGGCAGAAGTATTTCTTCTAAAATTCACATTTTGAATGGAGTCTCTGAAGTAGCAACAAGAGGGGTTTTGGAAAAGAGCAGAAGAAATAGTTTTTATTTAGACCCAAATTTTTCCAGTTGCTTCATGGACCAGTTGGACTTAATGTCTTGCGGCTTTGCAGACTTTATCATACACTTCAGGAAAAGCCTTGTTGCACTGAAGTTCTTGTCTCAGTTTGTGATAGAGGGAGCCATCAAACATTTCCCAGAATTCTTCACGGGTCATATAGCAGTCTGCATATAACATCTGAAAACTAAAGGAAATAAGAAGGATGTTAAGAGCTCTTGCATTAGAAGGTGACTATTAAGATATTTAATTTAATAGCTGGAACAATAAAGTGTATAATGGGCCAGAACACACAGTTGTAGTTGATTGGTTGGAGAGAGTGGGCTCCTGCATGAGGCAATCTACAGTGATGGGATTCAAGTAATTTAACAACCGGTTCTCTGCCCTAATGATTTCTTCCAACAACCAGTGTGCCAAGCTGCTCAGAAAATTAACAACCGGTTCTCCCAAAGTGGTGCGAACCGGCTGAATCCCACCATTGAATCTACATTATGATTGGTTGCTGGGTGTAAAGGGGGAGTTTCCCTTTTTTCTCTGCCTTTTTCTTCTGTCTGCTCTGTCTGTTGTGTGATTTACCTGACGATTTACCTCATTATGTAGTGATGTGCCTATCTTGTCTGCTGCAAAATATGGAAGTTAACTATATTTATTTATATAAAACTACAAGTTTCTATCAGCGTCTCTGACTTAATTTGGACACCTGTTGCACAGTTTGCATATATCATATGAAAACTAAAGGAAATGAGAAAGATCTTAAGAGTTGTTGCATTAGAAGGCAACAATGATCTTTGCCTGCAAAACAGGGCAAGCCACTCAGTCAGAATTGATGTCTTTAGTTCATGTTTTGTTCTAGCAAACCAACAAACCAAACCTTTCATTCAGCTGCGTATCCCAGCAAGTGCGCTGCAGAACCAAAGTTGAACTACTGTACAGAATAGCAGGATAATGGGCTCCAATCATGGGTAACTAAGAATTCAATTGCTAGAGAGTTCTCATACTAGTAGAAACAACTCTATTTTCCAAGGTTTAGATTCTTACCCATGAACGTTCCTCACAAACTTTTCTAATTGTCTGGTAGACGCCATGGCTTCAAAGTGTTTTGTCTGGGGAATCCCATAGGCTCCCACATCTACATAGAGTTCCTCTTCATCTCCTTTTGGGTGAACCATTCCAGGATTGTGAGGCAAGATGAATGGACACAGCCATAGAGGATAAACCTAGGGAAAAGAGGAGGAAAAAGAATGCACTAGGAGCCATGGTAGCACAGTGGTTAGAATGCATTATTGCAGGCTAACTTTGCTCAATGTCTGGAGTTTGATCCTGATCAGCTCAAGGTTGACTCAGACTTCCTTCCGAGGTCGGTAAAATGAGGACCCAAATTGTTGGGGGTAATATGCTGATTCTGTAAATCGCTTAGAGATGGCTCTAAAGCCCTGTGAAGCAGTATATAAGTCTAAGTGCTGTTGCTATTCTATTCTATTCTATTCTGTTCTGTTCTGTTCTGTTCTGTTCTGTTCTGTTCTGTTCTGTTCTGTTCTGTTCTATTATTCTATTATTATTTATGGAAGCTACTTTTGTGCTTTCTGAATCCTACCACTGATAAGAGAGTTTACTATAAGCATTATTTATTTTTGGGCTTTACAGAAATGATCTTCATGTATTAAGTAAGAAACCAATCTTATTCCTGCTCCCATGACCCATCTTGGATTTAGGAAATTTGGTCTTACTTTAATGACACTGTGGAAGGTTTGAATACATTGTTCAAGACTCTTCATGGGGATCATCATGTCTTGTATCACGTGGTGTTGCTCATAGAGCTTTCTCATGGCTTCGCCTTGAGTCAATTTTAAAAGGGAGATTTTAGGAGGGACCATCCAGCCAAAGAGATAGCGAAAAATTGGATGATTGCCAAACGGGATGATGTCCTGTAACAAAAACAATGCTAATAGTAAGAAAAAAGAAAGATTTAAAATCAGTGTAATTACATGTATCGGCAACTTTAGTCAGTATTTTAAAAAAATTCTCCATGACTGAATGTGGTTTGAAGGCTTGGCTCTTTCTCTAGGCACTGAGTAGGGTGAGATGTGCAGTCCCTTGTTAATTCATCTTTTGTTCTATCATGAAACCATCTCTCTCCCCCCACCCCACCCCACCCTGTTTGTACTTGTTTTATGTCTCTGTTTCTATTTCTATATGCTACTCTGCTATTGCTGATGAGTGACTTTAGAAATCTGAATTATCAGTTTATATACTTGTCAAGATATACTGGATTGGAATAATAAGATTTAAGGAAAAGCTTTAAGAGCTAATTGGGTGATATAAGAACCAGCCCTTTAAAGAAAATACCAACATTTGTTTTAAAAATCTTCATGAACTGATACCCCCGATTCTTGGTTAACAGCAGATCTAGATGAAGTGGAAATGCTAAGATAAATAGTAGGCCTTATCTACACAAGGACTATTAACTCTACTATCGTAGATACTAATTCTTCCTCTTTATCCTTTTGGCTGTGAACTATTTACTGGCTTGAATGACCGAACAAGTTAGCCATCTAACATTTTACACATGGCACCTAGTTTAGGTTTGCCTTTTGTCTTGGAAGAGGAAAAAGAGAGGTATTAGGCATTAAGGGTATTCAAAGCTTCAAATGGGCATTTTGCTTCAAACAAAGAACTTGTGGAAAACTATTTTGCAAAGCAGCTTGGCCACCTCACTTGGGTAAGAATGAAATGAAATGACAATGCTGCTTCACCTAGCTCTTTTCCAAAACTCATTTCAGACTTCTGCAAAACATACCTCCCCCAGTGTTTTTATTTTTTACTGTTTTTATATATATTGAATGTTGTTGTTTCTTAAATCTTATCAATCACAGAGTTAGTTGATTAAGACGGTTGGCCATATAAATCTACAGAGTGAATTAATAATTAAGATAGGAACTATCCATAGGCTAAGCTGACAGAAAAGCCGTTCTTAAGTATCCACAGTGTAATAAATTACAAGTAGATCCTTACCTGGAGCTCCCAGAAAATGCTCCTTGTATGCCTATGATAATAATCTCTTGCTGGAATATATTCTGTTCCTGTGATATTAGCTTTCAAATAATTCTCCACATGCTTAAAAAACCATGGCTTGTAGTACGTCGCAATTCTATTGACCTTAATGGAAAGAACAGGGAGATAATGAAAATATAATTCTACTGGATGATATATCCTTACAAAGTTACAGTTTAATTGAAGATGTGTTTTAAGAATGAGGCAACTTTCTACTACTATTGACATAATGCACCAAAAATGCAATGCATTCTGTTTGACACATTTAATACATGATTGTATAGGATTAATGTTGGCAGTGTATCATTTCTACAAATGATGATTATTCTGGATGCCAATAATGGACATTTACACTAAATGTACCTCACTCACACGAATGCAGACACCAAATGATGAAAAGGCTTGCTGGGCTGGAACCCTTCTAAACATTATAAGCTCCCTTAGTCAAGCCTTTCCTTCCATACTGCAATTCAACTGTCTTTAACAAGTCTCGTAATTTTAATTTGCAGAGAGCTAAGAATGTCTTAATTCATTTAACTTAGGTTTTTCTAACTTGATTTCTGACAAGCACTTCTATTGTCCCGTCAGCATAGATGTTGACTTGCTGGAGATGTTAGAGCTAGTTATTTCACAGACAGTTTTAAAAGGCATACGCCAGTCCTAAAGGACCTTTAGAATTATTATTCTGCATGGAACAGTAGAAAACAATTTAAGGGCAATGTTTTTCAAACTTGGCAACTTCAAGATGTGTAGACTTCCTAGCTAGCCATAGTGGCTGGGGAATTCTAGAAATTGAAGTCCACACATCTTAAAGTTGCCAAATTTGAGAAACACTGCTCTTGTGGGAGACATAGTCTTTACAATACATAAATATGCACTGACAGTATAAATGGACTCTCTAGTTTTTAGAAGAAACAACTTGCTTTTTCCTCAGATAAAATACAATTTTGTCATTCTGTCTCCTGTACCTCCTTTTACTTGACAAGGATAATAAAGTTAGGTTACCTTTTCTTGCTCAGCTTCATTGGTCAAAACTCCAGTCATTATGACAGCCTCTTCCAAAGAATACACAATGCCCTCTACAAAATGATTCTCTTTCTTTTCTGATTCTTCAGCAAATCTCTTGCAGATGGCTTTCAGTCCTCTCACGGGCTCATAATGTATTTTCACATAGTTCTTAGATGGGATCATTTTTATTTCTGCTGCAACCAAAAAGCCTAATGTGCCGCAAGACCAAGGCACTGCATAAAATAGATCTGAGTTCTCCTCCTGCAAAAAGCACACCACACTAAGCAGCAACTCAAAATCAAACTGGCGTAACTTCTTAAATCATGGCAAAGGAATATAATTTCTTACCGGGGTACATCTCACATGGCTGCCATCGGCAAGAACAAGCTCATAGGCCACACAGATATGCTGAAATAATCCATAGATATGAGAGGAAGATTCAATGCCAGTTCCCATGAGCAGACCACCTATGCAAGAGACCATAATCAAGAATAAGCTGAAATACTTGCTAAACCTTACAGAACAGTATTTCAAAACAAGAGAATCTACAGCAAGCAAAACAAAAGAAATATTATAGGCATGGAACGTCTCATGCTTAACATTCTCGTATGTGAAATTATGATTGGGTGGTTTAATAAAAGTAGTAGTCCTTATTTCCATGTTCCAAGGCTTCTCACCTACTGTAAGATCATCAAGTTCTGGTACCACTGGAATAGTCCAGCCTATACGATTCAGGTGTGCTGTTAATTGCCCCATTGAGACCAAAGGTTCCACCCGAACAACCTACAACAGAACACATTTTTATGGCTTACATAACACCCATCAGATTGCATACAATTTCCTTCATTTGAACAATAACCTATACAGTAATAGGATCATCTGAACTGGAAGTGATTGATCAGGAATAGGATCCTAACATCATAGTGATCAGCAGGATGAAAAATGTCAACCCAGTGTGTATCTGTTATATAAAAAAGGCAGATTCTATTCTTGGAATCATTAGGAAGGGATATGAAAATAAAACTATTGACTATAGCAAGTGCCCTTATGAAAATTAGGATCATACCACACTTAAGAGGATCATGTAGTTTGGTCATTGCATCTTAAAAAGGATTATTATAAAGCTAGAAAACAGAGACCACCAGAAGTCCAGAGCTGGAAGTAATTGCAGTGCTGGAAAAAAAAAACCATCCTGGAAGAAAGCAATGACAATCCCACAACAACCATATGGACTAGTTGTTTTGCTCAGCATAAAAGCAATTTCATCTGGAAAATCCCAAAGGTACCTGTCGCTCAGTGTCTACATCTAAAATATCCATCAAGTTGATTGTGATGTTCTTTAGAGTCTTCTTGTACTTCCCAATACGAAGAGACATAGTAAGCCAGCCAGGACGGCCTGTGCACATATATGTTTTTTGGCCTTCTGCTTTCCATTCTCGAACCTACGAGAAAAGAAAATGGAATCACTTCCTTGTACAGCTTGAAGCTAAGGCCAAATAGGTACTAGCTTTGGGCACTAAAACTCAGGGGGTATCAAAGCTGTCCCTCCTTCCAAATCATTCTAAAAACATAAATCTTTGCATTGTTCGGAGGTGGCACTATCAGTCAATGTGGCCTAAAGCCATAAACTGACACCAACCTCATGTATTATTAAGAAAATTACTCCCAATTTTAGTTGTTAGCAAAGAGCTTGCAAACAAGAAACTTAGTTCTGACTGCATCCTTACAGTATATAAAGTTTTCAGGAGAAACATGTTAGGTGAATGCCAACTAAACATGCATTGTTTATTAGCTAAACAGGGCTGCATTGTTTATTAGCTAAAAATCAAGACCAAAATAAGAGCTAAAGGAGTCCAAAGCATTAGAATGTCAGTGCCGAGGTATAATTAATAAAAATTTGTTCCACGTTAACTTTCAATATTATTATCTCAGTTTTTAAATAACAGTGACTCTTGCAGAGAACCAAGAAACAATAAACTGAATAATAAATTGTTATTAGAAATAACAGCAGATTTGCATAGATGGGCTTCATTCATATTGCGTATCCAACGGGGAAAAAAAGCATTGAAAACCAATGTTTTATTTGGTATGGCATTCAGGTAAATATTCCTAAACTTAAATTTAAAGCTTTACCATATCATAAGCTATAATTTTCTTCTTTAATTAATGAACAGGCTGTCTAACAGATGCCTAACACCAAAAGAGTAATTGCATTGTCTTGCTCGCAATTCTGCCTTTTTAAAAACTTGCCGTGCAGATGCTCCCTGAAATTATCATAGCTCTTCAGGAAGGAACATAGTCAGTAATCCTTGTAAGGTGGAGAGTGTGAAAATATAACTACCTTGGAAAGTAGACTCTACCTCTCAGGTGGGTCCAAAGAAGGAACAGCAAGAGAAAGCCCCAACCCATCTTCAGACACTACATGAGTCTCCCAAACCTATTTCCCAGCAAAACGGGGCAGTGAGATAGCAGAGTATTGTGGATATCCAGCTCATCTGTACCACCCTCTCCCTGCCTGCCTTTCTCCAGTTGCCCTTTAAGCAGTGGTGGAATGTAATTTTTTTTTACTACTGGTTCTGTGGGCGTGGCATGGCAGAGGAAGGATACTGCAAAATCTGCATTCCCACCCCACTCCTGGGGGGAAGGATATTGCAAAATCTGCATTCCCACCCCACTCTGGGGACCACAGCCAGAAGTGGTATTTGCCGGTTCTCTGAACTACTCAAAATTTCCGCTACCGGTTCTCCAGAACCTGTCAGCACCTGCTGAATTTCACTCCTGCCTTTAAGTCATGCAATGAAGAGCTATTTCTTTTAAAAAAAAACTGGAGTACTGGACTTTCCTATCTTGCTCCATTTGGCCACTGCTGACTTTTTGTCTTTACTATCACTTTTATACACTTTGCTTATCTTTCCACAAAAATGTGTTTGTAAGAACAGAAATCCCACAGCCTCTCCCAAAGGCGACACAAGTGTTTCCCGTGTTAACAAGTGTTAACACACACACATACCCCCATGGCTGGCATGCCTCACTCCTGACTGCTTCTGTGACTATTCTCCCATACTATTTCACCTATATTTATGCTCCCTGTTCCTTTTCTTGCATAGCCAAACAATTCCCAGATACCCATTGATTGTGCCCAGTTCCACTATCATGTTCTAATCTTTCAGGTTGGTGGAAAATTGGCTCTCTTGCCTCCTGCTCCCACCTGGTTGGTTGTGCTGGGGGAAGGGAGATACTATTCAACCAGTAAGGGTAAGTCACATGATTTGTGGCTCATTGCCAGAATTACCCCCCCCCCTTTCTGGAATACTTTATGCCAGAAGGCAAACCATAAGGGTATTTTTCCATGTTATATGCAGGGCCCAGCATACAGCATTGATTTGCAGGGCCCACAATAAAATGAAATCAGCACATTATTCAAGATAATTACTAAATTACTAAAGTTGGCAGAGTCCTTATTCCGCACATCAAATTTAGAGAGTTCAAAAAGGATACAGATCCAAGAAAGAGATAATGCTCACCCGTGTATGAACTTTCTTTTATTACGCTTATTACAACAAACTGCAATGTAGCACTGCTAATTCTTCTCCCAGGCAAGCCAATATAACTGCAATGGGCACAAGTTTTTAGAGGGATCTCTTTTTTTTCCAGGGGTAGGAGGGATTTATTTACTATAATTTATTAGGGGTTTTTTTAATAAAAAAAATGAAATTAACTGCACGATTACAATATACTATTTTCAAAATTATTTCTATTGGTCTTCTAGTGATGTTTCTATGTTTTACTATTAAAAAAAGAGAAAATAACAAAATATATAAGTACAATGATGCAAACCATTCTGGGAGTGTTTGCATAAGCACAATTCAAACGTATCAACTGTAAATATCCAGGGGAAAAATATAATAAAACATCCTCCTTCATCAAACGTGTGTTTTTTTTCTAACAGAAAAGATTATCAGACATACAGAAACACCCTCCAACTCAATATTGCAGAATAAATGCCATTTTCAGATTTTAGACTTTTAAAAAACTCTTCCCCCACCCCCAAATAGTTCTGCTCATCCCAACTAGATTTTATATGTTTAGAACTTGCAAGTCATGATTTTGGAGAGCATTCCAGGTGTGGAGCTGGTAGTAGACATCCAAAGGACAGAAAGATGCAACAAGGAAGCACACGAAAATGAATTATCACGTATTCCATTGAAGGGAAACAATAATAAGGCTATAATAAATAATACTAGAATATGATATACTGGTATACTAGATTCTGTAACCATTAGGTTCCTGTAATACATATATGCTTTTGTATTTGTATGCCTTTATATTTGTATCTCCTGTAACAAACATATTCTGTTATTAGGCCTCTGTAATGTATCTGGTATTTGTCAAACGTATGTTCCTGCCATTTGATCTGAACCCATATCAATCTTCTTCCTGTTTTTCTTGTGCCATCTAAGAGCATGGTACGTTTCTCACATCATTGGAAGGATAATTTACACTTCAGCTCTAACTTACACCTTTGATCTGTATAAGCTTGTTCCTTGCAGAACCAGGGGGCCAAGTGAGCAATTGGGAGAACAAAGGAATGCTCAAGGAAAAGATAATGCTAATTGGGAGGCTTCTATTCCTTTGCAGGGCAACAAGGAATACACAAAGCTAAACTAGGAGGCCAGAATTGGTACGAAGCTGTTGTCTCTGAGGGTATAAAAGGATACCATACCTTCCTCAAGGTGTGGCTATCTCCTCGCATGCATTGTATCTGTATGTTCTGGATATAGTCGCACCCAGTATTTTGTTTTTGGCTATAAATAAAATCTGCTTTTTTTGCAAGCCTCGTCTTGAGTCTCTCTCTTTGGCATTCTGGTGACTCAAGTATATTTTGGGACCTTACACCATGCCCCTGCAATGAACCCAAAGTAGCAGGCCAATCTCTAGAGACGGAAAGGAGCCCCATCTTAAGCCTCTCCACCAGTTCTCAATTTCAGCTGCTCTTAAAGCGGGCTGCAAGATCCCACCAGGCTGTTGACCACCCAGATCGTCTGCCGCCCCTTCGAATCTCTTTGACAATTGGTACCGATCTCCTCACGCCCCGTCTTGCAATCTGAGAAGAATGACGTTCCCATGCCCTTTAGCCCCTTCCGTCAAAAATGCCGGCAGGACGCCAGTCTTTTCCGCCCGCCTCATTCCCCATTTGGCTGCAAAGCGCTCAAGGAGCCGGATTCTATCCAATCTATGGATCAGCTGTAGCACCGAGTTTGGATTGGCCAATGCGCAAGAGACTCGGGCGACCCGAAGCGGAGACCACCCACACAGTTGACTCAAATGTTTCCGAAGAGCAAGAAAGAGGCGGGAGGATTTCTCCGTCTCAGCCTATTAGGGCAGGAGTTTGGCAATGAAGCGCAAATTTCGGATTCCCAAGCTTCGTGCTAAAAAAAATTCAGGATTCCCAGATGTTTGGTATGGATTTTTGTTTTGTTTTGTTTCGTTTTTCATAAAATCTGTATAGGAAGTTAGCACCTACCCCTTTCCTAGAAGAATGAAATATTTTAGGAAATATTAAAAAGTCCACCATTAAACCATCTTTCCAAGCAGTCTCCATGTTTCCAGTGTCTTTCCTCCCACTTGGAGCTGAACCCAGAAGGATATTTCTTCCAACACCTGCTTTGTCATGGTGAATATTTTCTTCCACGGTTAATTATAATCACTCCCTTCGCCTTGAAACATGGACATAAATAATAATGATTTTTTTAAAAAAAAAAACCAAACCCTATGTTGTAGGACACAGAATTTCAGCGAATTTGAAAATCCAGTTGGTGTTCTTGGCATAAAATAGTTGCATTGTACAGTCAACTTCAAAGAAGCTCATTCTTTCACTTTCCCTCACTCTGGTTTTGGTTGCTGATCCTTTTTTTTTGTGAAGGGCCTTATATAAACCAAGTTTTGTCTTTTTTGTTTCTTTTGTTTTTGAGATCCATGGGAACTCACGTGGCATACAATTCTGCATCAAGAATCAAGAATGAATAAAGAAATGTCTTTTGTTATCACTTATCCTCCTCTCCCTGAAAAAAAAATCTGGGGAGAGGCATATGATTTAATTTAAATTATCTTCTGCCCTACATCTCATGTTGTGGATAATTAATCCTACCATTATCTTCCAACCCACAAGTAGTAATATTGTAACATTTTATTTATTTTATTTAACATATTTAGAGACTGTCAATTTCCTTCCTAGAGGACTCTGAGCCATGTACAAATAGATATAAAAACAGAAAAGCTATATATAAATATTATAATAAAGCAGCTAACAATAAGAAGAAATAATTAAAATCCAGAATTAAAAAGACAGGGTTGAGGTCTTCAGTGAGCTAACCAGCCCCATGGCTGCATGCCCCTCTGTGGAACATTTAATAAATTGACTGATCTGTTTCAAAAGAACAGC